CTCACTCAACTTCATCGACTTTGCAAAGGCCTTCGACAGAGTAGATCGAGAGGTGATATGGAAACTACTTCGCTACTTCCCAGGGGTTCCATCGACAATTATACATCTCATCCGACAGTTAGTTATACGACAATGCTGCATGACAAGTAATCCACAACGGGAAACTGGCGGTAGCCTTCGAAGTGAGGATGGGAGTAAGGCAAGGCTGGCCGTCTACTATAGCCAATGATCTTCCTGATTGCAGTAGATTGGATAGTGAGACAGACCAGTGGCGGGCAATGGGGAAACAGGCATAAAATGGACTCACACAAAACGAGACTTGGAGGATCTGGACTTCGCCCGTGATGATATATGTCTGATTTCACACAAACTGAAAGATATCCAAGCGAAAAGCAACACGTTGACGATTGAAGAAGCATCCAGAGAAGATGGGACTTCAGGTGAACATAGAGAAAACAGAGGTGGGTGATGAATATTGCTGGCTAACACCAACACCAACAGAAACAGTAATAACAACAACAGACAACAATCAGCCAGCATAAACGGGAGGAATCTGAAAGAAACAACCTCCTTCACCCACCTACCTACCTGAGAAGCATCGTTTCAACTACAGCGATATGAGTGAGTGAGTGAGTGTATGTTATCATTTCTATTGACGGCTAGCTCATGTTCATGGATACGAAGAAGACGAAGGGGGCGTCCACTTTGTCCAATGTAGTATTTTTCGCAGTTGTTACAATTTATTTTGTAGGTGATGTTGGTTTTATCTTCTTTCGCTGTTGAGTCTTTTGGATGACATAGAAGTGAGTGAAGTGACTGTGTTGGTTTGTGTACGACTGTAATTCCTAAAGGTTTGAAGAGTCTTGTAGTGATTTATGAGACATCCGTTAAATATGGTAAGGCGATTTTCTTTGTGCTTTCCTTTGGGGCTTTTGGTTTGATAGGTTGGCTTGGGGGTATATGTCTTTTGATGAAGTTCCGTGGATATCCATTCTTTTGGAAGACGTCCATGAGATATTATTCTTCAATTTTCCTTAAGGTGGGAGTGCTACAATGAGTCCTTACTCTCCTGAATAGTGTTTGTATGCAATTTTTTTTGTGTTATTGGATTGTTTCTGTTGTGATTCAGTATTTGGTTTGTGTGAGTTGATTTTCTGCGAACTTGATTTTCTAATTCCCCTGTGGTTGTTCGCTTGACTAAGACGTCCAAAAACGGGATTTTGTCCTCGGATTCCTCTTCTCTTGTGAATTCGATGTTGTTGAAGACGTTGTTGTCTTACGAGCGGAACACGCTTATCTTAGTTTTGTTCAGCCATACAATAGCAGTGAAAAGCAGAATTTTCCATGGGGTAATATTACCTAAAAATTAGAATCTGGGATATATTTGATTATGTTTACCTTATTATTAATTGGCTCGTTATGTATGGCAAGTTGATAGACCATTACATTTCATCCTGGTAGCTAAATGATCTACAATCTCATCTCGCAAATGGATGGTTCTGCCTTCGATCCCTGTTACATACTGCTAAAGGACCTCAAACTAGACGGAAATGGTTGTGTGATACTGTTTGCTTTTCAGAGCTTCCCTGACAGGCTTCAATTTGTCACTAAAGCAGAAATAGTCAGATTAAGAATGTAGAAACAGCAGTGGGGTGAAAGGTTTCTTTTGCATACAAAACTCCAGCTAATTTGCGTTCTTCCGTACTTCCTTCGTTGATTGATTATATACATATCTCTGGTCGAAACACTCGTTTTCGCATTGTTCACAGTATCTACGGTGGTTTACGGCGGCTTTAACGTTTTTAAACGAAAGGGTACTGAGCTTTCTCAAAGTCTCATTGGTAAGACCATCATTCAGGAGACGATTATCATTTTGAATTTCACTGCTGGCTACCATCATCTATTTAGATCTCTGAAGCTTAAAGTAGGAGAGGTAAACGAAACTGAAGTTGGATCACAAATCGATATTAGTTATATAACCATTAGAAATCAAGGAATACTAGGAATTAATTACTTCGTCTTTGTCTGGGACTTACCAGGGGTGAAACCTGGCACCTTTAGGTTACGAAGAGACCTCATTGAGTATTCGGCCGCTGGGAAAGATGAAACACATTGGCTCATCAGTTCTATCTCCCATCAGTTCATGTTTTTTTTAGGCACCATTGTTGGCCGATATCATCGGTGAGTATTTGTGCTTACATTCAACTTGGTTAATCCAGATTACAATGAATAAATAAAAAAGGATATTGTTTTTACTGACGTTTCGCTATTTAATGCTAACAGCTTTATCAAAGAGGTATTATTAAACCGGAATTTACAAAATCCACTCAGCATATATTTAACGAAGAGTTAAGGGGTGAGAAAAATAGACTTAGTTCAACTTGAGAGGACATATTGAAAGTCAAAATAACAATGAAGATCACTAAACCAAATAACAAAGGTAATAGCACATCTGCAATGGTATCAAAACAAAGTTTACTAACTTGATCATCGTTCGTTAGTCTGGGGTCATTTTTGGTTGTCAAGTTGGTGAATTGTTAAAGGTAACAAATTCAAGTGTACATTGTTGGATTTTATCAGTGTGTAAAACTATGAAAGTAGTGTGTGTTTACATAGTGAACTTTCTTATCACATTTGTGTTGATTTTACCACTTCATGGGCGAGAGGGGTGTTGTAGCCAGGTCAGATTCTGTTTTAGTCCATCATTCCTATTCAGGAAATTCGGATTCCACTTGATATGAATTGCTTCTGATATTAGACGTTCTTTGTGGTTTCTGAAGTCTTTCTGGATGACGATTTCAATATTGTCAAAATCAATTTTTTGGCCTGATTCTATGGCGTGTAGATCACCACCTATGGCTGATGATTTTTGAAGTTTTTCTAGTTCAACTGGATTTCTCAGTGGTAGGTCGAAGAGATGCTCTACGGTGTTCATTTCTTCTGATTTTGATTTCTCGAGATGTTTGTCCGATGTAGATCGCATCACATTCCAAGCAGGCATTTTATTTTATAGACACAATTAGATAGAGAATCTTTAGAGATTTTGTCTTTTATATGGACAAGGTTGCTTTGAAGTATGTCTGATGCTTTGAAGAAAACTCTGATGTCCAGCTGACTGAGTATTCTTCTGATATCGTCTGACGTCTCTGCTCCATATGGAATGACGACTGTCGATGTCCATTTTTTCGGAATACGTTTTTGGCCATACTTAATGTCAGTGTTGATTTTGTTGATGAAGTTCGTTGGGTAGTTGTTTTGCTTGATAGTTTCAGTAGCGTTTGATATTTCTTCTTCTTCTTTTTCTTTCTCATCCGTTAACATCAGAGAGTGCGCTCATCTAAGAAGACTTGAAACAACTGATACGTTTTCGCTGATGGGGGTGTGATGATTTGAAGTCTAAATATTTGTTGTTGGAGTGGGTTTTATTCCTGAATACAGATATACTAAAATGTCCGTTTTCCCTCCTCTTAACTAGTCTGATTCTGCTTCCGAACGGAACTGGATTTTAGGAGATACGCAGTTTATTTTCTCCAGGAATGTGTAGATCTGGTTTTAGTACTACAAAAGTATCATCCACACATCTTAACAGTATTTTAGGAGACTACATCGTCATGTAGTTAGTCATTAGTGACTATCAGCATAATTTTCAGGTTTGATACTAGCTGGTGATTGCATTAAAATCGTTAGTGAATTTCATCTCAGCTGCTGAACGGTCAGTATGCTTGCGTGGTAACCTGAAAGTGTTGAGTTTGTTCTCTATCCGTAAGGTCATCGGAGTTTTCAATGGTTTTCTATATCATATCAATCTATTATTGAACTTGAAGCTAACCAAATGCGATGTACAGTGCGACAGACAACGGCTAAGGAGGAAACAGGCATAAAATGAACTCACACAAAACGAGACTTGGAGGACCTGAACTTCGCCCGTGATGATATATGTCTGATTTCACACAAACTGAAAGATATCCAAGCGAAAAGCAACACGTTGGCGATAGAAGAAGCATCCAGAGAAGATAGGACTTCAGGTGAACATAGATAAAGCAGAGGTAATGAAGACTCCTGGTCAACACCAACACCAACAGAAACAGTAATAACAACAACAGACAACAATCAGCCATCATAAATGGGAGGAACCTGAAAGAAACAACCTCCTTCACCTACCCACCTACCTACCTGGGAAGCATCATTTCAACTACAGGCAAACAGAACTAACGAGGATATCAAAGCCAGAATCGGAAAAGCAAGACAAGCTTTCATTACTCTCATCAAGTCTGTGTGGAGGTCAACAGCACTCAGATTCTAAATGAAGTGAATTCAGTCAGTGCTACCCACTATACGGATGGATCAGAGACTTGGCGCGTTGTAAAGACCTTCATTAACAGTTGTCTTAGCTCAATACCACTCAAGATCAGACGGCCGGCCAGAAAAGATCAGAAACACGGAGGGATCTCTGGCGATGAGCGAACCAACACAACAGGAACCGACTGTGAAACAAATAGGCAGGAAGAAATGGAGATGGATTGGCTGGCCATACTGTAAGAAAACAAACCATCAAGTGACATCACTAGACAAGCGATTGCTCGAGTGGAACCTGGCCTACAGAGAAGTGGCGAGTTGGTCGTCAGTGCGAGGGTGGGGTGACTTGGAGGAGGTGATGTGAAGAGGAAATGAAATCATGTTGGCAAACTTGAAGCCAGGTGAAAACGTTGGCAGAGAACCGAATGCAATGGAGATATGCAGCTGAAGTCCTATGTCCCTCTGGGAATTAAAGGATAAAATAATAATAATAATCAAATACTTATATAAAATATCAGGAGGAATAAGAAATTATACAGAAGTGGAACTGCAAAGGTACCCTTTTATTCTAATTGTTCCTATACGGATTTTATGATGAATGGATGACATAGTCTTATTTTTAAATATTAACTCTCCTGTTTTATCTCCCTTTTTCCACCTCTCTTTTTCTGCCTCCTCAATAAATCAATCAATAATCCCTACAGAGTACGCTATCGTAAAGAAGATGGAGTATACGTGTTAAGCTTAACAAGTCATAATGAACCGAAACACTATCGGATAGAAGAACATTTAGGCAGATGGTCTATAGAAGGTGGACAATACTTTGAAACACTTATGGAAGTAAGTTGAGAGAAAAAACAACTTGTATTTTCTGTATTTTATTTATTATTATTATATCCTTTAATTCCTAGAGGAACATAGGGCTTCAGCTGAGCACCTCCATTGCCTTCTGTTTCCTGCCAACTTTTTCCACCTCGCTCCAAGTCCGCCCACATGCTTTCATCGCCTCCTCGCATGACCTCCTCCAAGTCACACCACCCTTGCACTGACAACAAACTCGCCGCTTCCCTTTCGGGTTCCACTCAAGCAATGGCTTGTCTAGTGATGTCACTTGATGGTTTCCTCACACTATGGCCAGCCAATCCATCTGCATTTCTTCCTGCCTATTTGTTTCACAGTCAGTTCCTGCTGTGTTGGTTCACTCATTGTCATAGATCCCTGTTGCTGATCTTTTCTGGCCATCTGATCTTGAGTGGTATTGAGCGAAGACAGCTGTTAATGAAGGTCTGTAGTTTGTTTGAGATGCTCTTTATGACGCGCTGGCCAAGTCTCTGATCCGTATAGAAGCACTGATTTTACATTGGAGTTGAAAATCCGGATCTTATTTTTAATGCTGAGTGCTGTTGACTTCCCGTTGTATTCCCCTGGGGACACAGCGCTTCCGTAACACATCTTCACTTTGTTCTATTCTTTGTTGTCTTCTTCAACTGGCTGACTCCACGATTGCCAATAATCTCTCATCTCCTCCTCTGACTGACTGCTTTCAATTTATAACATTGCTCAGATGTGCAGCAGTTCGAGTTCCCAGTCTCCTTCCAAGTAGCACTAAAAGCAAGAGAAGCGAGTAAATAGAGGTTCAGAAGAGAGATGATAGACAGAATTGTTAGTGAGGGAAGAAGAATAGTAGTAGTATGGAATAACAGTTTATTGATTTTGATTATAGCTTGATTCCACACAGTATTTTCGGTACAAGTATGGAATTTTCAGCGTGGATATCGGTAGCCCAAATTTTACAGGGCGACCATAGATATAAGGTGTGCGTCGTCGTGGGCTCGAACCCCAGACCATGTGCATGGTCAGGGAGAGTCCTAACCACTGTGCCACCGACGCACATATGGATATGACAAATAAATCACAAAGAGTGAATGCATCTGATCTATTCATTGAGAACGAGGACTTTGAGCCATATCACCAATTGTCTCCAGCTGCCACTGATTTTAACCATCCCGAGGACCCTAACTAGTCAGAACGTCTACATCTCCCTACGTGGCTGGCGTAAACGAACTGTTTTGGATTTCCTTGACTGATGAAGCCATGTTTTGGTTTGACCACCACTAACTATCTTTTGACTAACCTGATCCTATATCAATTAATACTTCCCATTGGTGAAGGCTATAGCTAGTCATGTGTGCATAACACATGTCCTTGCAGTCTAAATCGAGGAAACTTCACAATCTCGTTGACTGATTTCATCTAGACACACCTCAAACACACGATCTCCTCCATGTCAGGCTTGCACTCACAATCCACGCATCGCTTCCCATCCAGATTCCAGTCGAGTAATGGCCTGCATTGAGTGCGACGTCATTCGACGTTCTCGTCAACGTACATCTTATCCCCCTATCTACACAATCTCCTACATATTTCCTGGGCAATTGGCTCTTGGTTGGTTAGTTGTCAGCCAGCCAACCAGCCAACCAGAGTCTCTTGTTGCTATTCCTTTTTGACCACTCGACCATTTGATCTTTAGTTTTTCGAGACAGCCAAATTGTGAAGCCGTTGTTAAGAATCTTCATTAGCTTGTTTAAAATCCCTTTTGTGACACACGCACAGTGCACATTTCTGACCCATATAGAAACAGTGATTGACTGACTGCTTTCACAATTGTGTTGAACAGAATCCGAATGCAGAAGACTTCCAAGTTGGTTTCAGATTGATAAAGGTCTTCTTTGTCCTTCCAATTCTGTTTGGCTGGCTGGCTCGTTGGCTGACATTGACATCATCATCATCATTATCTGTGGCTACAGCCTGTGGTTGAAACTGTGCTTCCTGGCTAGATAAGCGAATAAAGTAACCTGTGTCAAATACCTTCCGTGGATGGGGATTGATGCTGGTTGTTGTTGTTGTTGTTGTTTTTGTTGCTACTGGTGATTGGTTCGTTGTCTTCATCACCTCCGTCTTCCCTATACTTACCTGGAGCTATGTTTACTCTGCAATTGGTGGATGGTGGCTAGCAGTGGAATCCAGGATAACGCGCATTTCGTCCTATTTGGGACTCGTCTGCCAGCTGGATGTACCTGCATTTCTCAGTGAATGAGTGATGATGTTCCCACCGAGGCTCGAACCCAGTCAGTACCCATAGTTTCGAACGCCAAAGCGTTATCCACTAGACCACTTGGGCCACGAGAGCCAGCCACCTCTTGTGCGACGGGTCATATTAATTATTGAATTGAATTTTTGATTTTCCCGTCGATTGATTGGAAAATCAAAAATTCAATTCAATATGTTTACTCTGCCTGCAACTTCTGCCAGTTTGTTAATTTCTTCTTATAACTCCTTGAATTTGTATGACATTAAACATAGAAATCATCTACGCACGAAATTCAGGTCTTCTAGAGTCTTATTATCGATTGGACGTATAACTGTCCTCTTCTAACTTGTCACAGTCCTCCTCATGATCAAGTTCACCACAACCAAGAAAGTGTCACGAGGTGACACTTTCCAATTCGTCGATTACATTAAAGATATCAATACAAAGAACAAAACTATGCTCTCCCTCGACATTGAATCACTATTTACCAACGTTCCACTCACAGAAACTGTCTCTTATATTTGTCACTATATCGACGAAAATCAGCTGAACATCGGATTACCGACGACCTGTTTAAAAGAACTACTACTGAGATGTACACTAAATGTGCAATTCACATTCAACGACATTATTTACAGACAACAAGATGGGATCGCAATGGGATCTCCACTGGGCCCATTACTAGCAGACTGCTTCATGGCAAGCCTCGAGAATGGCCCACTCAAATCAACCATCGACAATTTCCAGTTGTACGTTAGATATGTTGACGACATCTTTATCATCTGTGATGACGGTCACGATCTCAATCAACTACTGCAAATATTCAACAAATGCCATCCAGCCACAAAGTTCACTTTGGAAACTGAAAATGAATCTAAAATCCCTTTTCTTGATGTTGAGCTTACAAGGAGAGATGACGGAACTTTAAGAAGGTCAATCCATAGGAAACCGACTTGGAACGGACAATTAACAAGTTTCTACAGCTGGGTACCAATCAGTCGGAAAAGAAACCTAATTAAATCCCTTGCCACTCGCGTCAGACGCATCTGCAGCTCCGACACCATGGAAGAAGAACTAAACTTCCTTCATACAAAATGGCTACCCACCAAGATTTGTAGAGAAAAACATCAAACAGAAAAACCAAAAGCAAGAGACACTATCCGTGCCGAAAAAGATACTTTATATGAACCTAGACTTCAAAGGAGACCTATTTAGTGACGTCCTCAGAAGGAGAATTTCCACCTCTTTAGGAAGAACTTTCCCTGCGGCAACACTAAGAATAGTGTTCTCCAGTCGCCCGCTGATCTGCAGAAACCCATGACCACTTCTATGTGTATATATCAGTTCACCTGTTGCTGTGGAGCCAGGTACATCGGTCGTTCAACGCGCATCCTGTCTAAAAGGGTAAAAGAACACTATCCAGCGTGGCTACAGAAAGGAAATAATGGCCATATAAGGAGTGCAATAATCGAACATCTCGTCAATACTGGTCATTCCATCTCAACGAACGCCTCCTTCAAAGTAATCTACAAAGTGAAGAACAACCTTCCAAAGACAGTACGATTCCGTCTTCTTTGCATCGCAGAAGCCCTAGCCATCCAGTTGGAGGAACCAGAACTATGCATACAAAAGAAAATTATCCAACCACTTCTACTCGCATGGTAACTACTCCTTTGATTTGACCTAACTTTTCTTTGTTTGTTTGATTTGACCTTACTTCTGTTTGTATGCTTATTTTTCTAACTTAAAACCCTTGTGTAATTCTGTATATTATTTTGTTTCCATGTACACCCTTTGAGCACAACTCATTCATCAAACTATTCATGCCATTACGTAACTCTTATTTAACAATCATTTATGACAACTCATCACTTTTGTTACTATCCTCTTATCGAACATCCAATTCATCTGAACTTACTAATTGTATTTTCGTTTGACAAATTTAATGTATACACACACACACACAAAATAACCATATATATTTGCGATTGTACAGCTATGAAAATGAATTCGCCGAAAAGAGACTCTTCGCTGAACTACTTGTCTTCTGTCTACTAATGTTCAAATGGTGTAACAACAGAAGACAAGGGCCAGGCAACAGATCGTTTTATTATGAAAATCAACACGTATTTATACATATTTCAGACAACATTATTATAGACAAGCGCAGTCATCTGATTGGTTGTTTAGGTAGACAAACGCAGGCTTCTGATTGGTTGTTTCGGGATTCCTTGACAAACAGAGTTCTCTATCTGCGAATCATATTTTGCCACGTTAACTTTGCTGTGATTGGTTGTTGACTCAGCCTTGTTCACGGCCCATATTAGTGACCTAGACCTTAACGTAGATTAGTGCCAACCAATCGGCTAGCAGCCTGCTCTCACCACAATGGGAATTATTCATGAACAGCCAAGAATATCGTCGTTGGTGATAATAGGCAGCCACTCTTGTCTTACTCCTGTATTCACTTCAAAGCCAAGCATCAATGAGTTTTCCGATGTGGACCAATCGACACGTGGTATTGTTATATATATTTGTTAATAAAGATTTGGCGCACTGGACTCTTTAGTAATGAAGTAGTTTCCAGATTACTTTCTGATTAGCGCGGTTAAACATAGAGTGAGGTTTGACTGCCGTTCTCTGCGATGATGGTGATGATGATAATGACGATGTGTAGAGTTACAATTTGATCAGAACATGATTTGCCTTCATCTTAAATTCATTATAGTTCAACTAAATTTCAGCTTAT